TACACCAAGGGACATTCTGCCAAGATCTTTCACTTTTTTTTCCAACGTCCTCGTTGCCGTCGCCGTCGTGGTTGCGTAAGGTCCCTAAAGTCCCTATTCTGACCTGCGACATACAGATCTAACCCTAACCCGCAGCCTCGAACAAATTTTGAGGATCTAAAATTGGTGCTTATACCAAGTAATGTATGGCATTAGCCTTTATGACCGCTGAACATACGGAAGACGGACAATGCCGAGCTGAAATTTGAGTTGGATCCCTTCCAGATGCCAAAGATAGCTCTAAAGAACATTTTCCAGTCCCCCTTGCCTTTGTACGCCAGTCGGAGAGGCCGGCTAGTACAGTATATCACCCATCTCAAAAATAACGATTCCTGACATCAATTAGAGGATTGATCATTAAGTAAGGAATGAGGAGATTGCAGCAGCTCCTTCAGCGTTTTTTAATGGTGCAAAGCTCCTTGAATTTTAGAAACACTTTCCTTTACTGGGGTAAATCCTAGTTTACGATAGTTGATGGCTTAAATACAAGACAATAAGGAGAAGGCCGGCCTGATTGTACGTGATAAAGTCGCGTTTTCGTTTGCATTCGAAGAAAAAGGGTGGGACGATAATTGTATCAGATACGAAAATCATATGAGAATTCACTTAAGCCTTTCCTCAACCATAGTTAATAGAGGGGACTGGGTCCCCTCTATTAACTATGCCTCAACGGATCCTGATTTCTTCTGGATATTATTATTTTGTGGTCAAAAGTGGATAATAAATTGTAATATTTAACTTGTTTGTCTTTGATCTCTACGAAGAGCACTGAACCGCAATTAACAATGACCTTGCGTGACAACCTCGTGTTCGGTAGGAAGTTCAAGTGACTTGGTTTTAAACTCAACTAGTGACGTCGCAGCATTCATATCAATATCAAAGGAAAGAAAATTTAGTTTTGCACTCGGTATCGCATCGACTTACAAAAAGCAATATCAGCCAATCTTCATCGAAAAAGACGGGAAGTGACGACCAAAAAGATATATTGTTAGTCTGTTGGTAGACAAGTTACTTTCCATTGTACAGACAAACTTGGCGACTACTCCATTTAAGATCTCACGAACGATACTATCACTTTTCCAGGAAGTTGATATTAAATTAAACAGTTTCGAAGCTGTACCGAAAGTGTATCCACTAAAAAAGGGTTACGGTATTTGTTTATCCACGCAGTGATAACATTAATTAACACAGAATTCCACTAAGTACACCAGTGCATTGTCCTCTTCGCGTTGCGGTTGATCATCTGAAATCATCAGGGAGTTCACCATGGAATTCTCGCTTGTTATTGCCATTATTGTCTTCGGAATAATTGCACAATCAGTGGAAGGTAAGGCAGGGACTATTCGAAGTAAAATATAAATTTTCTGGGTTACATGCATATTCACAATCTGCACAGTGTAGGCTAGCTAAACCGGCAAGAACTTTTAACAAGATTCGATGTGTGAAAAGCTCATGCTGATAAGTTGGATATATCAACAAAGTTGAAATGGTAAATTGGCCACCGTAATGATTACAAAAGCTGACGTTTCGAGCGTTAGCCCTTCGTCATTCGCTCCGACGAAGGGCTAACGCTCGAAACGTCAGCTTTTGTAATCATTACGGTGGCCAATTTACCATTTCAACTTTGTTGATATATCCAAATTATTTCGTTACTCCCACCGACGCAGCCCCAAACAGTTTCTTTCGAAACTATCAGCCTTTATTCATTTGATTAACAGGTAAACTCTCCTTGCGATTCCAATATGTTATCTTGAAAACAGGTTATGAGAAAAGACAGTCTTCTCAGCTGATGGGTTGTATTCTGATATAACACCAAATTCTCCTGTCTAATTTGCAAAGAAATATATGGCAGTCAGTGGGGAGAATTCAGTACTCATAGACCTTATTCCAAAATGGCCGCCAACCAGTAAAACCTGGGGCAAGTGGCACGAAAACGAGGTCATAAGGGCCAAACCTAAGAAATTTTACAGTTTTGACTGAGAAGTTATCATCAAACGCATCATTTAGTAACGTACCTTTCCGGTCAGGAAGAGAAAATATGGCAAATGCTTTATATGGACGTTTACTAACCGAGGAAGATATTCAGGGAAGTTCGCTTGCTGGAAGAAAACCCTCAACACTGAAGAACTCCGAATTGCAGTTTTGGTTGCGCTGTCGCGGCGACTCGTGCAAAGGTCTGTCAACTAAATAAAGGCTGATAGTTTGGGGCTGCGTCGGTGGGGGTAACGAAATAATTTGAATATATCAACAAAGTTGAAATGGTAAATTGGCCACCGTAATGATTACAAAAGCTGACGTTTCGAGCGTTAGCCCTTCGTCGGAGCGAATGACGAAGGGCTAACGCTCGAAACGTCAGCTTTTGTAATCATTACGGTGGCCAATTTACCATTTCAACTTTGTTGATATATTCAAATTATTTCGTTACCCCCACCGACGCAGCCCCAAACTATCAGCCTTTATTTAGTTGACAGACCTTTGCACGAGTCGCCGCGACAGCGCAACCAAAACTGCAATTCGGAGTTCTTCAGTGTTGAGGGTTTTCTTCCAGCAAGCGAACTTCCCTGAATATCTTCCTCGGTTAGTAAACGTCCATATAAAGCATTTGCCATATTTTCTCTTCCTGACCGGAAAGGTACGTTACTAAATGATGCGTTTGATGATAACTTCTCAGTCAAAACTGTAAAATTTCTTAGGTTTGGCCCTTATGACCTCGTTTTCGTGCCACTTGCCCCAGGTTTTACTGGTTGGCGGCCATTTTGGAATAAGGTCTATGAGTACTGAATTCTCCCCACTGACTGCCATATATTTCTTTGCAAATTAGACAGGAGAATTTGGTGTTATATCAGAATACAACCCATCAGCTGAGAAGACTGTCTTTTCTCATAACCTGTTTTCAAGATAACATATTGGAATCGCAAGGAGAGTTTACCTGTTAATCAAATGAATAAAGGCTGATAGTTTCGAAAGAAACTGTTTGGGGCTGCTTCGGTGAGAGTAACGAAATAATTTGGATATATCAACAAAGTTGAAATGGTAAATTGGCCACCGTAATGATTACAAAAGGTCGTTGCCATGTTCCCACCAATAACGTAGCTCGATTTTCTGCCTTTAAAAGCACACACAACCCACAATTCCTCTATTCGCTCCGACGAAGGGCTAACGCTCGAAACGTCAGCTTTTGTAATCGTTACGGTGGCCAATTTACCATTTCAACTTTGTTGATATATCCAAATTATTTCGTTACTCTCACCGAAGCAGCCCCAAACAGTTTCTTTCGAAACTATCAGCCTTTATTCATTTGATTAACAGGTAAACTCTCCTTGCGATTCCAATATGTTATCTTGAAAACAGGTTATGAGAAAAGACAGTCTTCTCAGCTGATGGGTTGTATTCTGATATAACACCAAATTCTCCTGTCTAATTTGCAAAGAAATATATGGCAGTCAGTGGGGAGAATTCAGTACTCATAGACCTTATTCCAAAATGGCCGCCAACCAGTAAAACCTGGGGCAAGTGGCACGAAAACGAGGTCATAAGGGCCAAACCTAAGAAATTTTACAGTTTTGACTGAGAAGTTATCATCAAACGCATCATTTAGTAACGTACCTTTCCGGTCAGGAAGAGAAAATATGGCAAATGCTTTATATGGAC